AAGGTATGGTAATTATTCAACTACACATCAGTGCATCAGTGAATGGAATCGAAGTTTTGTGTGCATTATAAATGAGTTTGAAAAATTAAAACTTTAAAAAAATTTATCTTTATCTCTTTATTTAAAACAAATTAAATTTAAACAAATTCTGTGAAAAAAATTATTATAATTTTTTATCATAATTCTTTTAGTTCTCTTATTTTTCTTTTTCTTTTTACAATTTTTATTGAAACTTTATTGTTTTTGTCATTATTATTTATTATTTTTATTACTATCATTACTATTATTGTTATATTTATTATAAATACTATTATTTTTGCTGATGCATTTGCTCTATTAATGAATAAAGTTATTATTGTTATTATTATTTTTTAAATTAATATTATTAATATAATTATTTGGTGTCTTTCATTTGATCAGGTTTCTGCATGAGTTAATCCTTCCTCGTCAGTCAATTATTTATATTTATTCTTAATGATGATATTATGATTATATTATTTATAATACTATATATTTATATTATAAATAATAATATTATATAGTATTATTCTTTTTATTTTATTTTTATTTTTGTTATTAGTTTTATTACTATTATTATTATTGCTATTATTGCTATTATTGTTATTGTAACTATACAATTGTAAATTTTGAGGTATATAAATATCTTGTCGTCATTGTTGTTGTTGCTCTTGTTGTTTTTAGGTCTTCTTAAGGCACCTAAAATAACCAAAAAAAAAAAGATTTGTAACTCTCAATTATGTTTAATTTAAATGGCAAGAAAGAGTCGCAGTACTTCTCGTATCAGAAAATGTAAACAAAAGTGTGTGCAAAATGCTAACTAATGTAAACTTTAAAGTATGTAATGTTAAAACATGTCAAGTTTTACAGTTTTACTTTTACTTTAAAATTGAATTGTGACAATATTTCCTTAATTTTGATTTATAGCATTTATTTGCCGTTTTAAAAAGTCTTTTGTTTATTAAATAGCTTTGAAACTTTTAGCAAACACTACACCTTTAGTGGCAGAAGTGGTTAGGTTGCAACATTGTGAAGTAAACTGCCAAGGTTCAAGTCCTTGCTCTTCCACGCTTTTTTTTTTTTAAATCCTTTTCGATTTTTTAAAATAAAAAATAAAACATTTTAGAAGTTAAAAGTAAAGTTTTATTTTTATTTAAACGATGGATTGCGGCAAAATCTCCTTAATTTTGTTTTAAATCGCTTATTTGCCGTTTAATAAAGTTATATTCCATCTTTTGTTTATTAAATACTGTTACAAATTGACAGTTTAGTGTGTCTTAGTGGCCTAAGTGGTATAGCATGCTATAAAAAATAAAATCAAAAGGATTTATAAAAAGCCTAAAATTGCAATTAACATCAAAACAACGGTAGAAATTTTTTGCGCATACGTTAAGATAGAGATACTTAAGTTAATAATGTGCTAAAGGTACTTAGCTGTCAATACGTTCAATACACATTAAAGAAACAACTTTTTTTTTTACATAGGAAAAAAGATTTAACATCCAAACTTTTATTTTCTTCAAAATTAAATGACGGGGCATGGTTCTTTAAAAGCTGCGGATGGTCTGGAAAAAAATTTAATAAAAATCTAATAGAAGCTTAATTAAGAAGAAAAAAAAATTATAAGTCTGTACCCGTTTTTTTTTTTATAGAAGTTTACAATTTTACAATTAGAAGTTATAAAATATTGAATCATTAATTTTTATTTCGAAACAGAGGTTTGGCAGCTTTTTATTTTCTACCACTAAAAAGCGGTTTTCGTAATGACTACAGAAGCGTTTAAAATTTTTAAATTTATGTTATAAATTATTTTTTTATTCATAACTATAAACACAACAGAGTATAAACACAAGTTTACGTTCCGGTTTGCAACTTTTCTAAATCAGAGTAAAAATAGATGAGACAACAAGACCGTGGTTTTACAACAACTTTTTCACTTCTTTACTTTATTTACTTTGTTCTCACGGGAGTGAGAACAAAGTAAAATACGTCATTTTTTAAGAAACACGTCATTTTTCAAGTTTTTGTAGTAACACAATATTAAATTAAATACCGCGCACTTATCAAAATCCAAATTTAACCTATCACAAAAAGGACTGGCTACAACAAATCGAACTCACTGTGAGCAAAAGCAATGTGAAGCCGCTAATAAAACCTCATAAGTGCTACTACCACTATGTCACCACTACACATCAAGTAAAGTTTCTTCAAGCAATTGATTACTGATCTTGACAAGGAATCAGCACTTTTTACGTACCTCCAAGTTATTTCCTAAGGTATCCTAAATCAAGTTTAGAGCTTTGTCAGATTAGAGAATAAAGAGTTCGTTTAGCTCCTAAAATGGATTCAGAAAGCGGCTTTGAAAAATTTGTCACTATTATTGATATTCTTGTTGTTAAGAAAACATCTTTTTAACAGACATCTTTAAAACATCTTTTTAACAGACATCTTTAAAACATCTTTTTAACAGACATCTTTAAAACATAATTTCTCAGATTTGTGTTCTAAAAATAGTAACTTTGATTTCTGAAAAAATCTATATTTTTACACAAAGTTTTATTTTTTTAGGCATAAAATATTAACGAAAGATCTCATCTTCTCAATATTTCACTGTTAAAATTTATTTGTTCTTATATAAAAAGAGAAACTTTTATTTCAACCGGGATGTCATTGACAAGCGAGACTTTGGTAGAAAGGAAAATCTTTTTTTCAAATAAAATAATTTTCCTGAAGAAATTTTTATGCGGAATCAGCAAATGTAAAATAACAACGACATATTACCCCGTTAATCAAAGAACTTTTGTCCATTCGAAAAGTCTCTTTTTATAAACGCTTAGATACATGCTGCTTGCTTAGTTTATGCTGAATCTAAGTCGCAAGATACTTCAATATCCTTTATAAAAGTGCATTAACTTTAAGAATAATACTTTTGTATTTCAACTTTTTGATGCGTAAGTAAATTTATTTAAAAAAGTAACATTGTGACAAGGAATGTTGATGTCAAATTGTTGGTAAAGGTAAAAAAAAAAAAGGCGGTAGACCCCCATTCAAACTATTATCTTTAAAAAGTACCATAGAAAGTTTTCTATTATTTAAATAATTTTTTTGTATTGAAAAAACTATAAAAAAAATTAAAAACAATAAAAAAAAAGTTAACATGACATTAATAATTGGTGTAAAAAGGCAAAAAAAGACCCTACAATGGTACAAAGATAACTATCGGACTATGTTACATAGTCTGATTGCTATCAAATTTTGCAGGTAGCATTCATACATGGGTGTTTTCAAAATGGTGAAAAGAAAAATATCATTTAAAATTTTAAGGTATTTTTCTTAAAGTGTTTGAATTTTATGATAAAAAAATAGACCTAATTATCAATAACTGCCTTTGCCTTCATAGATTAATACTGATCTTGGTACATTTTTTTGACACTAGTGTATTAAACATATTGTAAAAAATTTAAGTCAATTGGACTTGTAAAACCTGTTATATCTTTGTACCAAGTATAATAATTTAGATTCAGAGAAAACGATCGTTTTGAATTTTGTATAGCAATACAAGTAACTTTGCGTTATACAAAACTAATAAGCTCCAGGTACGTTACGTAATGTAAACAAGATGTATTTAAGCATTTAGAAAGAGAAGAAGACACAATAAGATATCTAAGGAAAAGGAGCTTGAGTAGCAAAAAACTTTTTTTTCGTAAAAAAAGTTTTCTGCTATTACTTGTCAACAATTTTCAGATCTCCACTCCTCCTAATTTGTCGAGTTAACTAATGAGAGAAGCGGGTTTACAACTTCGCCGCCCGTAAGCTATGAAAATTTTGCCGCCCCTACATGCAAAATTTAAGTGCTCAGATAAAAATGGGTCAAATTCTAATAATAATTCTATAGACATTAGAAAATTTCCATTTCTAGGGGATCCTTTAATTTTATTGTGACCACTTAGTGCAAGTGCGCGACCCGTAAGTTATTTTAAGCCCAGCAACTACACCTCAAAGAACTTTTGCCCAGTACAAAATTTCTTCATTTATTTGAGCAAATAGCATTTTGTCTATTACCAAAATATTTACCGCCTTAGGCTATAGCCTATCAAATCTATAGGTAAATCTGATTAATGAACAACCCCTTAATTAAAAACAAATTAATTGTTCCGTACTCGGACTCGTAACTCGGTCTTTAAAAATCTAAAATAAATGTTTTTCAAACGTGTTTAAAATGTGTTTAAAAAGTTTAAAAACTTAAAGTTTAAGAACTTTCTTGTAAACATTGTCATATATTTTGTTGGTTTCAAAACTATTGTTTCCAACCACTTAATTATTCAATTGAATTGAGTTCTTTTGATTATAAAACTTAGATACACATTTTCGGTGTGCACAAATTTTTTAAGAATTGTTCAATAATTTAATTAATCATTTCTATTTAAAAATAATCACAAAAGCGGTTTAAGTTCGAATACCTATTTAAATTCTTATCGTACACAAATAAAATATCAAATCAACATATTATTTCTAAAATAAGAAGGAGGCATTTTTGTTAATCTTAACAATTTAAATTTTATAATATAACTAATTACTATTACCTGGTAATAAAAAATATTACCTAAACGTGTTATTATTTATTATTTAGTATAGCAGTTTATTATAAAAAAGCTCTATGGTGAAGGGAGTAAACAAAATATACCTTCGTAAACAAAATGGCAGCTCCACAAATCTTTTATAAAAACGGCGAAAACCATGTTCGTTTTCGCTGGTTTTCTTCCGTTTTATCAAAATATTACAAAAATTTAAATTAGAACAATGCTTTTTATCCAAAATCCAATATAATATGTGTTTTTGTTTATGTGTTTGTCCAGGTTTAAAATTGTTAATTATAGTTATATATAATCATAAAAAAATTTATGTATTTGTTTAGAAATATGTAATTAAAATTAAAAATGTGCAAAATTAATGTCACTCACACACGCATTAACATACAAACAACTTAAAAATATATATTTTTAGATTATTTTATATATAAATAATCATTTAATTAAAAACAAAATGATCTTCTGTTTCAATTGATGATGTTCATTAAAAAATGTTGATTATAAAGTCATGGTAAAGTTACTTGATAAATTTGGATCAATGGCCAATATAAGTGACTCTACTAACACATTTTCAATTAGACCAGCAGTAAGCGAAAGTGATATAAACAATGAGTTAAAAAGTGATCTCCATGAAGCTTGTTTAACTTTAAGTACATCGCGTGTAAACCTAGGTGATAAAATAATTGTCACATGGAATAATACTTCTGCTAGATCCTTAACAGATTCTTATTGGCTTGGTCTTTATTATCAAGGTATAAAATGATAGTTTATGTAATGATAATTATATGATATATATATATATATATAAATATATATATATATATATATATATATATATATATAATATATATATATATATATATATATATATATATATATATATATATATATATATATATATATATATATATATATATATATATATATATATATATATATATATATATATATATATATATATATATATATATATTTTAGTTTTAAAATGATAAATATTATTTAATTATAATTTTAAAACCTGAATGTAACTTGAATGTTTTACTATTAAAAAAATAACAGTTAAATACTATTTTATTTTATGCTACATTATTTGGATTATATTAGTTACAAAGTTTTTTCAAAACTAGTTGTTTAATTTTTTTTATAATTTAATTTAAAGTTTTAGCCAGTTATAAATTACTGGTAATTTATAGGTTGAAGTTATAAATAATGATTGTTGTACAAATAATGAAACACATTTTCATACTTTTATTAACACAATATGTTAGATAAAAAGGAGTTTTAATAAACAGACAATATAAATAATTCTAGAGAAAATAGTTGTCAACAAAATGTCAATATATTTTGCAAGTATATCCATGAAAATTTTATATCACACATAATATCTAATAACTAAAAAAGTCATTTGTTTTGCCAATTTTATTTTAATTTGTTTAGAATTAAGAAAGCCCTTGTTTAGCCATTTTTATTTTAGTGGATTTGTTTACAATTTGACTGAAAGATTTGTATTTAAGAATTTAGTTAACAGTTAGGTTGGCTGAATGCTGACCCTATTTCCAAGGGCAGATATATAGATATAAATGATTTTCAGTAATAGGTTTATCTTTGGTGCAAAGTGAATTAAATAATTTCTCCAAAATATTTGTAAAACAATCCATAAATCAGAATAATGAACTATTTTGAGTTCCTTGCAATAAATAGGCAAGTAATATGAATATTTGTCTGAATCTGAAATTACCCTGAAAAATTAATGTAGGAATATATCAGCAACACGTCCGAACAATTTGAAAAGCATTAAAAATATATCTGGTTTTTTGAATGCTTTGTCTTAAAATTTTCGAGATATTTTTTTTTGTTTTAACTCTTATAGGTTTTAACCAGTAAAAAGCTGTAAAGAATTAATTTCAAATTTGTAAAATTTAAAAATTAGGAACTTCTTATGAAACAGGCAGTCTACCATTATATCACTAATGCATATTCCAATTGATAACTAAAAACTTTGGAAAACTAGCAACAGCTTTTTTCTTGACAACTCTTTAATCCATTGTTTTAATGCTGCATCGCACATTTCCTAAAAAAAAATTTATAATACTTAATATATTATAATTTTATACTTACATTTACTATTTATTAAAAACTGGTTGCATTAATATATTTTAAACTTTAATTTACTTTCAACAAGATTGCAAGCAACCACTATTAAGTTATGAGTTATTTAAAATAGAGAATAAGTTAAAATATTAGGAAACGTATAACTGAAAACTTAAAAAGTTGTAAGTTGTATAAAAAAGGAAAATATGAAGATGGGTTAGAGTTATAAGGTTTTTTTGATGTTCAAGGAAAAAGACTGGATTAATAAAAGATTTTATATCAAGAAGGACAGATGCAGTAAAAGGATGCAACTTTTTGAATAAAAAGCCAAGCTAGTATGAATTTTGGTTTATCGTTATAGAGATGATAGCTTGTTTGAGCATTGACCATAATTGTATTTGTAGAAAAAAGAATGAAATGCAACCTTACAACAATGGGAGAGTGGCTCAAGCTGGGGAGATAAAGCAAGTCTACGTTTACAATGTGCTTTTAGACTTTGTCTGAGAGTAAGAGGGTTATTTGTCAATACCAACATTATTGAAACAATATTGCAAGGAATGCCAACAGTATTGCAATATTTTTATGCAGTAAATAAAAGAGTTTTGTTATTAAACAAACACTGTGGATTTTAAGTCCAGAATTTAAATCCATAAGCCACTGCTAGCCTTGAACTGTTACAGAAGAGACATCAGATTTAAAATTGGCTGCTTGTTCTAAGCAGTTAAAAAGTGAAGATTTTTTGTCAAGACAAGAGCATAAAGTTGAGTCAGCAAATTGAGCTTTTTTAGATTTCATGAAGATCATTAATATAGATAGATAAGAAACAATACAGGAGCAAAGATAGAACCTTGTGGTACCCTTAAAGTTACTTGAAATAAAGAAGAGGGTAGGCCTTCTAGAATAATTTTACTACTGCAGTTAGAAAGAAATAATTTAATAATCTCAAAACCTTTATATAAAAAAAAACTAATAACATAGTGAAGACTAATTGTAGGATAGTTAAAGAGGCCAAAGTGTTTTCTATAGTTTTGAATAATTGGAACCACTTATTTGGCACTTTTTAAAAGTTTAGCAAAAAGTGAAGAGAGTTCTGGTAAACACTTTTTTTAGGCTACAATGAAAATCTTGTCTGGGGCACAAACTGTAGAAGTGTTTAATTGGGAATTAACTTTAGCATTGGAAGCCAGAGTGATTTTGGTGTTGAACAATAGGTTAATCTGTTTTACAAGCATTATATTCATGAGTCAAATTGGAGTAAGATTTCTTTGCAAATAACTCTGCTTTATTCTGGGGAGAAGTAAAAAAGTCAGACCCATGAATTTGAGATTAATGTTAGACTTGCTTTAGTTAATAACACTATTGAAGGCTAAACAAAAGTCTCTAGAACCTAACATCTGAGATAATATACAAGATTTGGTAAACTGAGAATAACAGCTTAACATCAGACAGGACTTTTTTACACTGGCTTCTTGAAATAATAAAAGGAAATTTGTTCTTAAGAGAGATGTTCTTGTAAAAAAGATAAAAAAAAAAGTTTAATGTTTAACAAAGCAACTGTTCAAGATGGTGAAAAAGGTGAAGTAGAATGAGGCTTGGCTTAAATTTGAAGAGAAGTAATTAAAGCTTCCAAACTTTTATTCTAGAAGAAATAAAAGCTTGATGCGCTTTATGCAAACATATTATAGATATAAACATATATGTTTGCTATTTATTTAGATGCTGGCATACAATATCCTTTCATTGTTATATCAACTTTAGTATTTATACGGTGTATTATTTGCTGAAAAAGAAGATGATCAGATGGTTGTGTAGTGTGACTCTAGCAAGACAAGAAAAGGAGGCATAATCTTAGACAGATTGGAAAAAACGTTGTATTGAACAACGTTTGCTAGAAAAGTAATTTAGGTATCAGGATGTAGAGAGGTAGCAGCTTCAGTAGAAAATGGTAGTGGTAAAAGTAAGAAAACTTGAAGAGATTTCCTTACATAATGTATAAATGAGCTTTATTTAAGAAAAAAATAATGCTCTAGACTGTTTATATTAAAGAAACCGCATAAAAGTGAAAGGCTAAAGCCTGATGATGACGATGATGATGATGATGGTAATGATTATGATGATGATGATCATCATCATCATCATGATCTTGATGATGGTAATGATGATTATGATGATTATGTTGATCATAATGATGTTTATACATATATATATATATCTATATACAAAATATAACATGAATTTTGAATTAAAAGAACATACTTTAGGATGTATAAATTTTTATTCAGCCCTGGTCACAAACCCGGACCCGGCTATATTTAATTAAGCCGGGCCCCAGCGCTGGTCAAATATCAACCCCAGTCACTTACTACACCACTACTGCATCGACTTGATTTACAAATAAAAAAGTTGACTTGATTGACAAGTAAAAAAAACATTTGCATATGTGTTACATTAGTGGTTTATTTTAATGTTATTTCTTTAAACTGTTTTTGTAAAAAAAAAAAAACACTCTACTTACTTAAACATATTAAAATATTTATTTATCAAATTTACATGTTTTAGGCATCATTTTTTATTTCACTTTTTTTCCCTTTATTTTTTGTTCTTTGTAAAACTATACATTTTTTGCAGCAAAGTTAACAAAACATTACCATCAGTATCAGAAGTCAGCTATTTTCTTTTTGCCATGATGTGATGTTGATTACAATTACATATATATTTTTTAATGTTTTTTTTTTAATGATTTTTAGATGAGCTTGATGAGAAAAATTATATTGACATGAAATCAAAAAATGTTGGGAAGTCAACATTTGGTTCAATATCTTGGCATATTTCTAAAGATATTAAATTTAATGAAGGTAAAAATGTATCTTTTAAAATTTTTTACATTGTATACAGTATTGAACAAAACATGAACAAACTCAAATTTAAAACAAAACTTGATCACAAATAGAAAGTAAAGTAAAACAATTGTAAAGTAGTAAAACAATTGAACATATTAACTTTAAAATAGTTTATTTTGTTCCTAAAATAATTTAAAACTTTTGATTTTTGATGTACATTTAAGGTCATTGTCCTGTTGAAAAATACATTTTAGCAGTATCTTCCATTCAGCATGTGGTAACAACATCTTCCATGATATTTTTGTATATAAAGTGGTCCGTAATCTTCACACTCTTAGGTTTATATTGTTGCATCTAAAGAGGTTGTATTTTGTTCCATTGTAAAAAAGTATGACTTTCTACTGCTCTACAATCCAATTTTTATGTACTTTAGCAAATGTAGATATTTAAGAAAACAGTTTTGCTTCATTAGCTTTTTGTTGCTAGTGCGATTGATGATTTGTATTTCAAGTTTTTATGTTAATTCTGTGGATAAGAGATTTTTTTTTTAAAGGTCTTTAATAATTCTTTGATCTAGTTTTTGTCATACTTGGACATCCGCCCCAACGGTTTGTTTTATATAGCAGTAATGAGATCCAAAAGGTTATAGTTTTGCTCACAGCTATGTTATATTTTCCAAAACTTTCAGCTTGATGTTTTATG